CAGGTCGGCGCAACATCGAGGGCCGAAGGGCCTGTACTGCGCTGTAACGTTCTATGTTCTATGTTCTATGTTGGTTCTGCACCACAGGTCCATCTGATCCTAATGGTTATTCTTTGCTTCCTTACAAGCTAAATACTGACAGCATTCAGACCAGGTAAGGACAGCAGTTTCTTTCCCTAAAGGATATTAGTCCTATAGTGATCCAGATGGGTTTTTCCTGACAATCAACAATGGGCTCATGGTCATCATTAGACTTTTAATTCCAGATTTTCATTGAAGTCAAGTTCCATCATCTGCCATGGTGGGATTTGTACTTGGGTCCCCAGAACATTACCTGGGTAATGTGGATTAACAGTCCAGCGATAATACCACTTCACCATCACACCCCCCCAACAAACCACATTCAAACTCATGCCAATCTTGACCCACTACACATCCCAAATGACCCTTCTTACCTTTTGTGCTGCCACATGTATGCCCATGCCTATTCAAGTAACCTCCATAAAAAAGAAACACGCACTCTATATAATTTCTCTGCATCAGAGGAGCAGTTAGCTCAGTTCGCTGGGCAGCTGGTTTGCAATGCAGAGTAATACCAACAGCATGGGTTCAAGTCTGCTATGGCTGAGGTTACCAAGATGGACTCTCCTTCTCAAACACTCCCTTCACATAAGGCATGGTGACCCTCAGCTTAATCCAGCACCAGTTGCTTCGGTCTACTGACAGAGCAGTGGCACACGGTGGCTCAGTGGTTAGCACTGCTGCCTCACAACGCCAGGGACACGGGTTTGATTCCACCCTCAGGCAACTGTCCGTGTAGAGTTTGCATGTTTTCCCTGTGTCTGTGTGGGTTTCCTCCGGGTGCTCTGGTTTCCTCCCACAGTCCAAAGATGTGCAGGTTAGGTGGATTGGCATTGGAATGCAAGGATGGGGTTGGGACTGATTGGGATGCTTTTCAGACGGTTGGTGTGGACTTGATGGGCCGAATGGCCTGCTTCCGCACTGTGGGGATTCTATGACTATAGTAACTTTTCAAAATATGGAGGAAGCAATGGGCTGGAGTCTTGACATCTCGATCAGGAAAAATGCTCCTTCAGCATAAACCCAACAGACGAAGAGTTCCAAACAGTCCAATTGAGTCCTGGTGGGGACTTGTATGCACATCTGCTCCCCATAACACCCTGCAACTGAAGACAGTAGCAGGATGTACCAAATGCTAATGCAGGTTAGTTAAAAGACCTGCCTCAGATATCTTAGGCCCTCTCACCCACAAACAGTACACCCTGCCCACTCTTTTTCTCGGTGCCACTGGCCAGGCCAACATTTACTGCCCATCCCTAATTGGCCAGAGGGCAATTAAAAGTCAACCACATTGCTGTGGGTCTGGACACACATGTAAACCAGACCAGGTAAGGACAGCAGTTTCTTTCCCTAAAGGATATTAGTCCTTTAGTGATCCAGATGGGTTTTTCTTGACAATCAACAATGGGCTCATGATCATCATTAGACTTTTAATTCCAGATTTTCATTGAAGTCAAATTCTATCATCTGTCGTGGTGGGATTTGTACCTGGGTCCCCAGAACATTACCTGGGTAATGTGGATTAACAGTCCAGCGATAATACCACTGCACCATCACACCCCCCGACAAACCACATTCAAACTCATGCCAATCATGACCTACTACACATCCCAAATAACCCTTCTTTCCTTTTGTGCTGCCACATGCATGCCCATGCCTATTCGAGTTGAAAAGACACTACAGGAAACCAGTGAACCTCACAGTATTAATAACATACATGGAAAAGTTGAATCAAAACTCTTTCCCCAAATAAATGACGTTTATAGAATTGTTGCAGCAGCAATCAACAAGGCCATTAAAGTATCAAAAACAGAAAATATAAACATTGATGCCACTTTATCTTGTGCAAATGACAAAAGATTTCTAAGAAAAATAACTTGAGCTCTCAATCAAGCAATGTTTCCTTTCTCTGCACTAATTTCAACAAACTAATGGAAATCTGGGCTCTCAGCTAAGCCAGGCTTCCCACACGGCATGGCCTGACCTGAAGCTACCCGAATACCAACTGCTGCAAGATGAGGTCCATAAATGACATCCATAAAACCATAAGAAATAGGAACAGGGGTAGGCTGACGGCCCCTTGTAACTGCCCGACATTCAATCGGATCATGTCTGATCTGACATTCCTCACATCCACTTTTTTGCTTTTTCCTCCCATGAGCCCTACTGATCAAGAATATATCTACCTCAGTCTTAAATACACACAAGGACTCTGCTTCTACAGCTCTCTGTGGCATAAGTTCCAAAGATTCACAACCCTCAGAGAAGAAATTCCTCCTTGTCTCAGTCTTAAATTGGCACCCTTTTATTCCGAGACTATGCAATGAAGGCAAGCATGCTAAATGCCTTGTTATCCATCTTATCTATATGTGATGCAAACTTCAAAGAATTATGTATCTTAACCTCTAGGTCTGTCTGTTCGAAAACACTCCCCATGGCCCTACCATTAATTATATAAGTTCTGTCCTTGTTTGTATTTCCAAAATGCAATACCTCACATTTATGCAGATTAAAATCCATCTGCCACTCTTCAGTCCATTGACCTAATTGATCAAGATTTCTTTGTAATCTTAGATAACGTTCTTCACTGTCCACTGTACCACCAATTTTAGTGTCATCTGCAAACTTACTAATAACACCTTCTATAATCTCATCTAAATCATTTACATAAATGACAAACAAAAGTGGACCCAGCAACAAACCCTATGGAACCCCACTGGTCATGGGTTGCCAACCTGAAAGAGAACATCTTATCCACCCTCACTGCTACCCGCTGAAATAACTGCAGAGGCTGGTATCCTATCATCAAGTCACCCTTTATTTACATCAGCACAGTACACTGGCTGTGACCAGTCAGCTCGGGGTCAGTAACAAAAACAAAATTGCTGGAAAAGCTCAGCAGGTCTGGCAGCATCTGAGAAGAAAAAATCGTTTCGGGTCCAGTGACCCTTCCTGTGAACTCAGCTCGGGGTCAGTCCCTGAAGTGAGGAGATTCTGAATCTCCTGTTTATATCTATCATCCAGGGCTTGGTCCAGGCTAACAACCCCAATCAAGGATCTCATTGTTAATGAGTTCTAACACTACAACTGCCCATAAACCAATTCTCCACTCATTCTAATATACTACCTTCAAAACCATGGCCTCTTATCTTATGACTTAACCTTTTATGAGTTACCTTGTTGAAAGCTTTCTGAAGTCTAAATACAACACATCTACTGGCTCCCCTCCAGCCACTTTAGTGGAGACTTCCTCGAAAAACTCAAATAAATTAGTCAGACATGATATCCCATCCCAGGCTCAAGACTCCCACATCTGCCACCATCCCAGCTAGTTAAATGCTCTCTCTGCCTCTAAGCTTGTCTTGGGAAGGGCATTAAGTTCACCCATTATCCATGTACATGCTTATTAGCTAGATCAGCTTACATACAGAATCAATGAACTAGTTGGGCTTTTATAACAGCCTGCCAGATATCGTGGTCATTTTTTTTATTTCCAACATTTTTTACATTATTCTGCTCAATATCATAACTTTTCACAATATGATTTGAAACGAACACCTCTGACAGCTCACCACTGCACTAGACTTCGCACATCAAGTTCAACTTATAACAGTTACATGGCCATTTATTGGATACAAGAGCATATACCAAGGAGTGACTTACATCATAGATTTTATTTAGGTTAAGAACAGAATAATAGAAAGCTCTGAAGACAGACCTTCATCTTGCCTTTATGGATACAAGCTTGATGTTCAGTCTCTGTAACATTCCACTTTATCTGCAAAACAAATGCATTTGCAACATTCAGTTACCATAAATAGTCAACCTAGCACACAAAGCAACCCCATTTTCCCAACACCAAAGAAGATGTTGCTGCACGTACAATTTTTAAAAGTTGACCCATTTTCACACATACTAGGAATATAAGTCAATCCCTCTTTTCGATCTTGACATATTATACTTTTATTAGGATTCCAATTTAATTCTAGTCTTTCTTTTTCATTCCAAATGCATGATTTGTTAACCATCAACTAATAACTCGATGCAAGGGAACAAGCAGGCAGCATGGGCTCATGCTGCCAAAGATATGCAGCAGTTAAAGACACGCCTTTTTTCTTGCATTACATGCTGATCACATTTCAAAATGGTGGCCATTCACACCCTCTCTGACATTTTATTTTTATACTCAACGTCTATGTTGGCCCCAGATTTTCCAGGGGCTTTCAAGGCTTCAATGGTGAACATATTCTCTAACATCGACACTATTACAAATACCCATTTATACAAAAAGTGCAAGAACTAGAGCCTTTATTTTGCCTCCTTCCACGCAGTGTTATCCTCTCCTGATGGTCTAAATTTTTAGTACAGTTCAATTCCACAGGCACTAGAGCATAAGTCCTGGCACCTCCTCCCACATTAAAAGTCAACGTTTGGGTAAGGTAGATGACTGAACTACAAAAAGCACATTTAGGGCGGCATGGTGGCTCGGTGGTTATCACTGCTGCCTCACAGCGCCAGGGGCCTGGGTTCGATTCCACCCTCGGGTGACTGTCTGTGTGGAGTTTGCACATTCTCCCCTTGTCTGTGCGGGTTTCCTCCGGGTTCTCTGGTTTCCTCCCACAGTCCAAAGATGTGCAGGCTAGGTGGATTGGCCATGCTAAATTGCTCCTAGTGTGCAGGGATGTGTAGGTTAGGTGCATTAGGCATGGGAATTGCAGGGTTATAGGATGGGGTGGGGTTGCACATTGTTGAGTCAGGGTGGTGTGCTCTTCAGAGAGTTGGTGTGCACTTGTTGGGCTGAATAGCCTGTTTCCACACTGTAGGGATTCTATGGTATGGTATAAAGAAAATAACATGCTTCCATTGTCATAAATCTAGACATGCAGTAAAGTTATTTGGGTCGAACTGAGATATAAGAAGGGGATGATCACCTTATTGGGATTGTACAACAGACCCCCCCAATAGTCAACAGAAAATTGAGAAGCAAATTTGGACCGAGATTGCAGTTATTTGTAAGAATAATAGGGTGGTTAGGGTAGACGATTTTAACTTCCCAAACATAAACTGGGTTTGCCATAGTGTTAAGGGATCACATGGACAGGAATTTGGTAAAAAAAATTCTTATTCAGTATGTGGATGTACCAAGTAGAGAAGGTGCAAAACTTGACCTACTCTTGGAAATAAGGCAGGGCATGTGACTGAGGTGTCAGTGGGGGAGCACTTTGGGGCAAGTATCATAATTCTATCAGTTTTAAAGTAGTGATGGAAAACGATAGACCGGATTTAAAAGTTAGAGATCTAAATTGGAGGAAAGCCAATTTTGATGGTATTAGGCAGGAATTTTCAAAAGTTGATTGGGGGCATGAAGGGCAAAGCTGGCAGGTGTAGGCGTTCTGGTCAAGAAAAAGAAGGAAGTATATGTCAGGTATAGAAAGGAGGGATTGAGTGAATCTCTAGAAAAGTATAAAGGCAGTAGGAGTATACTTAAGAGAGAAATCAGGAGGGCAAAAAGGGGACATGATATAGCTTTGGCAAATAGGGTTAAGGAGAACTCAAAGGGATTCTACAAATGCATTCTTGAATACATCTGGATTTCCAGACGGCATTAGACAAGGTATTGCACAAAAGGCTGCTGCATAAGATAAAGGTGCACAGCGTTATGGACAATGTATTAGCATGGATAGAGGATTGGTTAACTATTAGAAAACAAACAGTGGGGATAGATGGTTATATTTCCAGTTAGCAATCAGTGGCTAATGGAGTGCTTCAGGGATCAGTGTTGGGACCGCAATTGTTTACAATTTACATTGATGATTTAGAGCTGTGGAGCAAGTGTGGTGTGTCAAACTTCACGGATAGGATGCAGAGCTAGGCTGAGAAGTGGCAGATGGAGTTTAACCCTGAAAAGTGTGAGGTGATTCATTTTCGAAGGACAAACTTGAAAGCAGAATACAGGGTTAATGGAAAGATTCTTGGCAGTGTGGAGGCGCAGAGGGATCTTGGGGTTCATGTCCACAGTTCCCTGAAAGCTGCCACCCAGGTGAATAGAGTTGTTAAGAAGGCGTATGGTGTGTTAACTTTCATTAATAGAGGGATCGAGTTCAAGAGCCATGAAGTTATGCTCCAGCTATACAAAACCCTGGTTCGGCCACATCTGGAGTATTGTGTCCAGTTCTGGTCACCTCATTACAGGAAAGATGTGGAAGCGTTGGAAAAGGTGCAGAGGAGATTTACCAGGATGTTGCCTGGAATGAAGAGAAGGTCTTACGAGGAAAGGTTGAGACGGCTAGGGCTTTTCTCTTTAGAACGACGAAGGATGAGCGGTGACTTGATAGAGGTGTACAAAATGATCAGAGATATAGATAGAGTGGACAGCCAGAGACTTTTTCCTAGGGTGGAGGTAGCTATTACGAGGGGGCATAGTTTTAAAGTGAGTGGAGGTAGATATAAGGGAGACATCAGAGGTAGGTTCTTTACTCAGAGAGTGGTTGGGGCATGGAATGCATTGCCGGAGAGGGTAGCAGGGTCAGCCTCATTAGGGTCATTTAAGCAGCTATTAGATAGGCATATGGATGATAGTATAAGGTAGGGGTGGAGGTTAGATAGACCTTAGGATTAGGGTAAAAATTCAGCACAACATCGTAGGCCGAAGGGCCTGTACTGTGCTGTACTGTTCTATGTTTTATGATACTAAGATGAGTGGTACAGCAAAATGTGCAGAGGACACTGAAAGTCTGCAGAGGGACGTAGATAGTTTAAGTGAGTGGGCAAAGGTCTAGCAGATGCAATACTACGTCGGTAAATGTTAAGTCATCCATTTTTAGTAGGAATAACAGCAAAGTGGGCTATTCCTTGAACAGTAAAAAATTGCAGCATGCTGCTGTGCAGAGGGACCTGGGTGTCCTTCTGCATAAATCACAGAAGGTTGGTTTGCAGGTGCAGCAGATAATGAAGAAGGTAAATGGAATTTTATCCCTCACTGCCAGAGAGATGGAGTTTAAAAATAATGAGGTTATGCTGTAGCTGTACAGGGTGCTGGTGAGGCCTCACCTGGAGTACTGTGTACAGTTTTGGTCTCCTTACTTGAAAAAGGACAGACTGACACTGGAGGGGGTGCAGAGGAGATTTAAGAGATTAATTCCAGAGTTAAGAAGGCTGCCTTGTGAGGAGAAATTGAGTAGACTGGGACTGTGTTTATTGAAATTTAGAATAATAATCTTATAGAAACATATAATATTATGAAGGGAACAGATAAGACAGAAGCAGGGAGGTTGTTTCCATTGGTGCATAAAACTAGAACAAGAGGACACAGCCTCAAAATAAGGGGGAGCAGATTTAGGACCAAGTCAAGGGGGAACTTCTTCACCCAAAAGGGTTATGAATCTGTGGAATTCCCTGCCCAGTGATGCATTTGCGGCTACCTCATTGAATGTCTTTAAGGCAAAGATAGATTTTTGAACAGTAAAGGAGTTAAGGGTTATGGTGAGCAGGTGGGTAAGTGGAGCTGAGTCCATGAAAAGATCAGCCATGATGTTATTGAATGGTGGAGCAGGCTCGAGGGGCTGGATGGCCTACTCCTGCTCCTAGTTCTTATGTTCTTACGAAGGGCAAAAGGGTAACTAGCCCCTTGAAGATCAACAAGGCTGCCTATGTGTGGAACCACAGGAGATTGGCGAGATACTAAATGGGTATTTTGCATCAAGGTTTACTGTGGAGAAGAATGTGGAAGCTGGCGAACGTGGGGAAATAAATACCAGTATCTTGAAAAGTGTCCATGTTACAGAGGAGGTGGTGTTGGACATCTTAAACCACATAATGGTGGTTAAATCCCTGAAACTGGATCAGGTGTACTCTAGAACTCTGTGGGAAGCTGGGGGAGAGATTGCTGGGCCTTTTGCTGAGATATTTGTATCATTCAGAGCTATGGGTGAGGTGCAGGAAGACTGGAGGTTGGCTAACGCGGTGCCATTGTTTACGAAAGGTAAGGAAAAGCCAGGGAACTATAGACCGGGTCAGCCTTACGTCAGTGGCGAGCAAGATGTAGGAGGGGATTCTGAGAGACAGGATTTGCACGTGTTGGAAAGGCAAGGACTGATTAGGGATAGCTAGCATGGTTTTGTGCGTGGGAAATTGTATCTCATTGACTTGAAGTTTTTTGAAGAAGTGACGAAGAGGATTGATGAAGGCAAAGCAGTGAGTGTCGACCAAATGGACTTCAGTAAGGTGTTCAACGACGTTCTACTGGTAGACTGGTTAACAAAGCTAGATCATATGGAATACAGGGAGAACAAGCCATTTGGGTACAAAATTGACCAGAGGTACGACAGAGAGGGTGAACAAAGAACAAAAGAAAATTACAGCACAGGAACAGGCACTTCAGCCCTCCAAGCCTGCGCCGATCCAGATCCTCTATCTAAACCTGTCACCGATTTTCCAAGGATCTGTATCCCTCTGCTCCCTGCCCATTCATGTATCTGTCTAGATACATCTTAAATGATGCTATCGTGCCTGCCTCTACCACCTCTGCTGGCAACGCGTTCCAGGCACCCACCACCCTCTGTGTAAAGAACTTTCCATGCATATCTCCCTTAAACGTTTCCCCTCTCACCTTGAAATCGTGACCCCTAGTAATTGAGTCCCCCAATCTGGGAAAAAGCTTCTTGCTATCCACCCTGTCTATATCTCATGATTTTGTAGACCTCAATCAGGTCCCGCCTCAACCTCCGTCTTTCTAATGTAAATAATCCTAATCTACTCAACCTCTCTTCATAGCTAGCGCCCTCTATACCAGGCAACATCCTGGTGAACCTCCTCTGCACCCTCTCCAAAGCATCCATATCCTTTTGGTAAAGTGGCGACCAGAACTGTACGCAGTATTCCAAATGTGGTCGAAGCAAAATCCTATACAACTGTAACATGACCTGCCAACTCTTGCACTCAATACCCCGTCCGATGAATGAAAGCATGCCGTATGCCTTCTTGACCACTCTATCCACCTGCGTTGCCACCTTCAGGGTACAATGGACCTGAACACCCAGATCTCTCTGTGTATCAATCTTCCCCAGGGCTTTTCCATTTACCACATAGTTCACTCTTGAATTGGATCTTCCAAAATGCATCACCTCACATTTGCCTGGATTGAACTCCATCTGCCACTTCTCCACCCAATTCTCCAATCTATCTATATTCTGCTGCATTCTCTGCAAGGTCTATCTAACCTCCACCCCTACCTTATACTATCTTCCATATGCCTATCTAATAGCCGCTTAAATGCCCCTAATGAGGCCGACCCCACTACCCTCTCCGGCAATGCATTCCATGCCCCAACCACTCTCTGAGTAAAGAACCTACCTCTGACGTCTCCCCTATATCTACCTCCACTCACTTTAAAACTATGCCCCCTCGTAATAGCTACCTCCACCCTAGGAAAAAGTCTCTGGCTGTCTACTCTATCTATACCTCTGATCATTTTGTACACCTTATCAAGTCAGTATTTGAACGGTAGCCTTGTCACAAAAAGGACATGTTTCTTTGGCATTTATTAAGAAGACAGAGGTGATTCAGGACAGTCATTCAACCATCACTACCGCACATTGATATTCACATCCTCCAAGATACATTTCCTTCCACTTTGTCTCTGATGCAGAAGTCAATTACTGGGAATAATGAGTCACTGAACTGAAATCTACAAGTTGCTAGTTAGAACGGATATTTCCTCCCCCACGGTATATGGTCCACAGGGTAGGAAAATGACCCACAGGATGAGTGAGCACCCCACAGGATAAGTGAGCACCCACAGGATGAGTGAGCACCCCACAGGATGAGTGTGCAAGCAAGCAAACTGAAACATAATAGAACATATCTTCCACTTTCCTGACCAACAGGAACAAGTGACAAACAAGTCATTGCTCTCCGTTTTTTCCCCAAGCCACTCACAATAAATTAAACTGTAAGAGAATTTACTTCTTCATTGAAGTCATGTAAAATAAATGCCACAGCACACTTCCTATGTAGATTCAAAAGGTCTTATTGAATGACTGGGTAATCTCACAGTCAATTCCTTTTCAACAGGCTGCTCGTCTTTGCTTCCATTTAGCTAGAAGGCCCAGTACGCAGATTTCTTCACAGTTTATGACAATCGGACTCATTAATAATGTTGGATTCTAGGCAGGGACAGCTGGGCTATGAGAATGATGATGAAAAGCTTTTTTTTCAAAACCTTGCCTTTCCTTATGTGTACCTTCACTCATCGATTCTCACTCAGTCTGAATTAAAAGTTGGCACGTTGTACTCAATGTAAAACGTTCTTAAAGCAATCCCTTTGATCGTAAACTTTAGCTCCCCTGTTCTGATAAATCCCATAGGCAAAAGCAGATCTGTGATGCACAGTGTTTTATATATATCTCTAATATAATTTATTGTGGATTTTCAATTTTCATGTGAGTTTACCAGCCTGGAAATATCCCTTTTATCCCAACTCTCTGTTTTCTGGTAGTTAGCTAATCCTCATTAAAGCCAAAAAAAAAATTATCTAACAAGCTAGATTTCAGTCTGGAATCTGACTTGTTGAGTAATAGCATTAGCTGGTTTCATAACAGATCTAAAAACACATTCAAAAAACGTCATGAACAAATCTTGTCTGGTTGCAGTCAACAGCTCATAGCCACGACCATTCAGGCATTTTTGAATTACAGATTACCAATTTGTGAAGAAATTACCATAAATGGATCCTGCGCCACTGAAGTCAAATTAAGAACAAAGATGGCGTTCATTGCTCCCACATAGAGATGGTTTTGTAACTCGTTTACCAAAAAGGTGTTGAAGGTAGTACTAGGGCTCGAGAAGCTTTTCATTGATGTCAGCTGCTGAAGTTCTGAAATTTGAAAAAAAGAGAATACATCAGGAAACTGGAAGAAAATGTATAACAAAAATCAATTTAAGTTTAGATAGAAGACAACAATTAAAGGCTTGAAAAATGAAATTCAGTCTGAATACTGTAATGTTATCAACATAGGAGGTTGTAACTGTGATCAGACCAGGTCTCACCTGACATCCATGCACTTTAATTTTCTAATAAGGATTGCTGAATAGTGATCATCAATAGAACACGACAGTTCCCGCACTTACAGCAGTCGTGTTCAGATGAACAGCACTCTAATCCAATCCAGATCTTGCTGTCTCTGCTAATATCAGATAACTCATCACTGACCAGTCACCTAACCTGGGATCTTGACGAACAGCTATTATGCCATGAAATTGGAAAAGTTTTATTGTTTTGCTGGCATGCACTGCACCATATATTAGTTATATCAACATAATCAAATTTAAAATAATTCATAACGAGACTTGTACTTCCTGCGGATTAAATCAAAATAAAATTATGGCTCCTCAATTCTTGGATACTTTGAAGAGGGTGGGGGGCAGTGTCAGTTAGCTCAGTTGGCCAAATGGCTTGTGATGCAGAATGATACGAACAGTGCGGATTCAATTCCCACACTGGCTGAAGATACAATGAAGTCTATCTTCTCAAACTTGCCCCTTGCTTGAGGGGCGGTAACCCTTGGGTTAAGCTCATCACCACTTATCGCTCTCTAATGGGAGAGAGCAGCCCTCTGGGATTTTACTTACTGTTGAGATTCAGTGCAGCAAGCTAATTCCTGAGAATCTGCTTTTTTTTTAAATCTCTTTGCCAGCTATTAAACTTGTATTGTTTCAAAAACTGGAAATACTCTGATATTCCTTCCATATTATCGTCTGCGCTACAAGAGACTGACTGAGGGACTCAGCCACTGTCGCATTGACCCGATGGGGAAGGAGGTACTTGGCTCAGATCAACTGAGTTTTACTGAAAAGAGGCCTATTGAGGTTGATGACTTGCTTGCCGAGCTGGCTTGTTTTTGTTTAGACGTTTCGTCACCATGCCAGGTGACATCATCAGTGAGGCCTCCGATGAAGTGATGTTATTCTACTCCGCTTGGAATTTATACTGTCCAGCCCGTTATCGTGAGTAGTGTCATTTCTGGTTTTGATCTGTATGGGTTTGTATATGGGGTCCAATTCTATATGTTTGTTGATTGCATTATGGCTTGAGACCATGTCTCGAGGAATTCTTGCGTGAGTCTATGTTTGGCTTGGGCTACTATGGTTACCTTGTCCCAGTTAAACTGATGGCCTTCATTGTCCGAGTGTATAGATGTTAAGGAAAGCTCGTCGCATCATTTTGCTGCTAGCTGATGTTCATGTATTCTGACGGCTAGTTTCCTTCCTGTTTATCTGATGTAATGTTTGTGGTAGTCGTTGCATGGTATTTTGTAAACCACATTGGTTCTGCATGTTGTGGAAATGGGGTCTTTAGTCCTTGTGAGTGTTTGTTGTAGAGTGGCTACAGTCTTGCGTGCTACCATGATTCCTGGTGGTCTTAGGAGTCTTGTTTCAGTTCTGATATGTTCTTGAGGTAGGGCTGTTAGGGCGTACTGTGTCCTCCTGTTGCTGTCTGTTTAATAGGCATCTGCAGATGAAGTTGCAGGGATATCCGTTCATAGCGAATAGGTGCTCTTCCTCTTTCCTGCATAGTTCCGAAGTGTGGCAGTGTGTCGTGACCTGTTTAAATAGTGTCCTAATGCAGTTTCGTTTGTGGACATTGAGGTGGTTGCTGTGGAAGTTGAGGATTTGATCAGCTCAACTTCCACAACAACCACCCGAATGTCCACAAATGAAACTGCATTAGGACAACAACAGGAGGACACAGTACACCCTAACACACTGGCCACACTGCCCGACATCAAGAACATATCGGAACTGACAATAAGACTCCTAAGACCACCAGGAATCATGGTAGCACACAAGCCCATAGCCACTCTACTACAAACACTCACAAGGATTAAAGACCCCATTCCCACAACTTACAGAACCAACGTGGTTTACAAAATACCACGCAACGACTGCCACGAACATTACATCGGACAGACAGGAAGGAAACTAGCCATCAGAATACATGAACATCAGCTAGCAGCAAAACGGCATGATGAACTTTCATAGAACTTAGAACAGTACAGCACAGTACAGGCCCTTCGGCCCACGATGTTGTGCCGAACTTTTACCCTAATCCTAAGGTCTATCTAACCTCCACCCCTACCTTATACTATCATCCATATGCCTATCTAATAGCCGCTTAAATGCCCCTAATGAGGCCGACTCCACTATCCTCTCTGGCAATGCATTCCACGTCCCTACCACTCTCTGAGTAAAGAACCTACCTCTGACTTCTCCCTGATATCTACCTCCACTCACTTTAAAACTATGCCCCGTTGTAATAGCTACCTCCACCTTAGGAAAAAATCTCTGGTTGTCCACTCTATCTATACCTCTGATCATTTTGTACACCTCTATCAAGTCACCTCTCATCCTTCGTAGTTCTAAAGAGAAAAGCCCTAACTCTCTCAACCTTTCCTTGTAAGACCTTCCCTTCATTCCAGGCAATATCCTGATAAATCTCCTCTGTACCTTTTCCAATGCTTGCTCATCTTTCCTGTAATGAGGCAACCAGAACTGGACACAGTACTCCAGATGTGGCCGAACCAGTGTTTTGTACAGCTGGAGCATAATTTCACGGCTCTTGAACTCAATCCCTCTATTAATGAAAGCTAACACACCATTCGCCTTCTTAACAACTCTATCCACCTGGGTGGCAGCTTTCAGGGAACTGTGGACATTGAACCCCAAGATCCCTCTGCTCCTCCACACTGCCAAGAATCTTTCCATTAACCCTGTATTCTGTTTTCAAGTTTGTCCTTCCAAAATGAATCACCTCACACTTTTCAGGGTTAAACTCCATCTGCCACTTCTCAGACCAGCTCTGCCTCCTATCAATGTCCCTTTGTAACCTAGAACAGCCCTCCGCACTGTCCACAACTCGACCCACCTTCGTATCGTCAGTGAACTGGCTAATCCACCCTTCCACTCCTTCATCCAAATCATTTACAAAAATCACAAATAGAAGAGGACCCAGAACAGATCCTTGTGGTACACCACTCGTAACTGAGCACCATGTTGAATCTTTTCCGTCCACTACCACCCTTTGTCTTCTAAGGGTCAGCCAATTCTGAATCCAATCTGCCACATTTCCCCTTATCCCATGCCTCCTTACCTTCTGCATGAGCCTACCATGTGGAACCTTATCAAACGTCTTACTTAAATCCATGTATATCACATCCACTGCTCTACCTTCATCCACATGTTTGGTCACCTCTTCAAAGAATTGTGAGGCATGGTCTACCCCTCACAAATCCATGCTCACTATTACGAATCAAACTGTGCCTTTCCGAGTGATCATAAATCCTATCTCTCAGAGCCCTTTCCAATAATTTGCCCACCACTGACATAAGACTAACTGGCCTGTGATTTCTGGGGTTATCCTTATTCCCTTTTTTGAACAAGGGAATGACGTTTGCCTCTCTCCAATCTTCCAGCACGATACCCGTGGACAGTGAGGACGAAAAGTTTTGTTAACATCAGTACACTCAGACAATGAAGGCCATCAGTTTAACTGGGTCAAGGTAACCACAGTAGCCCAAGCCAAACATAGACACACACGGGAATTCCTAGAGGCATGGTTCTCCACCCATAATGCAATCAACAAACATATAGAATTGGACCGCATAATATAAACCCATTAAGATCAAAACCGGAAATGACAGTACTTACCATAACGGACCGGACAGTATAAATTCCAAGCAGATTAGAACAACATCGCTTCATTGGAGGCTGCACTGATGATGTTACCAAGCATGGTGACAAAGCGTCTGAACTATAACAAGCCAGCTCGGTGAGCAAGTCAACAACCTCACCCACAACCTGAGCTACAGATTTTCGCTAAAACCTTAAGGAAGGTCTATTGCCAAAGCTTTCAGTCTTGCACTCATCAAAACCAATGCAAGAATGCCAAATTTTAAATTATCACAACATTTATACTACAGAAGTAAAACGGTGCTGACTGGTTAGCAAGTCAACTGTTCAGGAGAAAACAAGGGGGAGCTATACCAGCATATGAGATGGGAGGAGAAATAAGTCGTTTGTCCCCTCCAAACCTCCTAGGCATTTAATAAGGTCATCACTAATAAGGTAATCACACATTGACTGTAACCTCAGCTTTACATTCCCATCCACCCCCTCTCACCTCCTTGCATACCAAGAATCTATCTACTCGTGCATTAAAAATACTCAAAGACTCTGCTTCTACCACCTTTTCCGCAGAGGTCCAAACATTTATGACCCTATGACAGAAAAATAAAACTTCACCTTATCTCTGTCTTAAATGTGTATCCCTTACTTTTAAACAATGACCCCTAGTTCTAGATTCTCCTACAAGGAGGAAGATCCTCTTCACATCCACCCTGTCAAGCCCACTCAGATCTTATGTGTATAAATCAAGTCTTCTCTTACTCTTCTAAACTCTAGCAGATACAAACCTGGCATACATCGCCTTTTGTCATAAGACAATCCACCTTTTCCAGGTATTAGCACTTTGAACCTTGTCTGAATTGATTGCCTTTTATGCATTTACACCTTTCTTAAATGAGGTGATCAATGCTGTATAAGCAAGAGGTTGGTTAGCTCAGTTGGCTGCCTGGTTTGTGTAGAGTGATACCAACACTGTGGGTTCAATTCTCACACTGGCGGAGGTTACCATGAAGTATTTTCCTTCTCAACTTCTCTCGGAGGTGTGGTGACCCTCAGGTTAAAAACCACTAATAGTGTCTCTGTCTGTCAGAGAGAAGTTCTATTGTCTGGAAAATCTATGGCAATTTTACCTTTACAGCACTGTGCATAATACAGTAGTCCAGATGCAGTTTCACCAGTGAAACATGAC